CACACACACACACACACACACACACACACACACACACACACACACACACACACACACACACACACACAGAGTGACGATGACCTTACCCTAGGGGCTAAACCAACTGACTGACTAGCAATTTCACACACACATACACGAGGTATTGACTCGATGACAGGCCAACAGTGCACGCATCGTATGAAGACAAGGTCTTCAATGTCAGTCAAAGATACACGAAATTGAAACATCAAAGCCCAAGTCCCATGCTACAACCATCGATGACAGAACACATCCCTCAGCTCAGTAGTGAACATCCCTCTAGTCCTCCTCGTGCCCATTACCATCCGAGCTATCGTCATGTCCACTCTGGTCCTCTCCCCGGGCACGAGTCTCTCATCCACGTAGTCACTACCAGAAAGGCCATCATTTGAGGCTGCATCTGAATCGTCGTCAATGATACGAGTGGATTTCGTACTGCGAACTCCACTCGAGGCCTGAGACCTCGTGCGAACACCCACCGTCACATCAGTGCATGCATTGGTGCCCTGCCCAACATCGTCCTCACCCGCGTCGTCTGCCCCCAATGCACTCATCGCCCATGAATCACGACCCCTGCCTCGACCCCTGCCTGATCCTGAGCCTCGTGGGCGACCACGAGGTCTGCCTGTGCCACCCTGCGATCGTGGAGGAGGTGGTAATGCGCCTCCGTCATCCTCCCTCCTCCTCTTCCTGCCTGCACGACTTGTCTTCACATTATCAACAATGGCTGACGGAAGTCGTGCAGGGAGCGGTGGCATGCCTAATGGACTACGCACAGGAGGGGCAGCCGCCGCTGACGAAGTGGATGCTCGACTCGCGTGCGCAGCCGGGCGTCGTAAAGTCACCGATGGGGGGTGGTGTAGGGAACTGCCAGGGGACACTGCGGGAGATGAAGTGCCACCACCAGGACGTTCAACTGACGTCGATCTGCCGAGAAGATGAACACTTACTGCATCGGGTGATGGTGTGGCGCGTGTGGGCATGGGCGGAATCCCATAGAATGAGGCAGTCGAAAGTTTAACATCACTCTCCCTCCCGCCCCCCCCCCTCTGTAGCAACCTGAACACCCTCACTCTGGATCATACTCTCGCGTGTAGATGCTACACCCCTCCTCTCGCTGCCCCTGTCCTCCATCCGTCGAACTACGCTCTCGTCCATGGTGACGTCCACCTGAACCTCCAAGATGTGTCCATCCCTCCGCTCTCGCCGGTGTTCAATCCTCTGGTCAGCCCTCTGCTCCGCCCTGTCCTGCACCATCTCATCTACCCTCTGCTCCACCCTCTGCTCCGCACCAAGCCCTGCGACAGACGCTGGTAATGGGTCCGCCCTGTCATCCACCCTCTAGTTGACGTGCGCTGAGGAAGCACAACCAATCCTCTGCTCCGAGGTCTGAACCACTGTAGGACGAATGACGTCACTGACCCTACGCTCTCCACCTCCGCCCGCCACCAGTCCATCACCATCCCCGCCACGTAGCACGACCCTCTGGACAACCGACTGAGTGATGCTCTGTGAACCGCCGCCTCGATGTACAACCTGCTCAACGACCTGGCGCACGTGGTGTGTGTCCTCCAGTCTCTCATCCGCATGATGACCCTCCGTCCCAATCATCTCCTCCTCTGCCCCTCGTAGAATCCTCTCAGCAGCGTGATGGGGTGCTGCAGGAGCCGACATTCGTGCATCAACTGGAACACCCCCAGTATGTCCTCCCTCTCCGGCAATCGACGAATGTGGAATGTGCTGACCTCTCTCCTCCTCCTGCCCTACCTCTGTGCMGCTTGCCTCGCCATCCCCGGTCAAAAGCTCCTCCAAATCTAGCCGACCCCCAACCCTCCCCCGTAGACTCCTCACGGTATCCACACTCTGCCCGATGTAGGCGTCGAAATTGGTGTGAGGGTCCGCTCCACCCCACTCGTCCAATAAGTCATGCTGGTCCTCAGGCAATGTACGACCTGCGTCTCTCCGCTCCTGCTGCGCCTCCATCATCTCTCTGTGCATCCACACCGCATCCTGCCAAAGGGCCTCATCACCGTCCTCATCCTCATCCTCATCCTCCATCGGTGCCTTCCCCTTCCCAAATCGATTGCGACCCTCCTTCCTCCTGTTCCTCCTGTCGATCTCCTCCCACTCCTCCTCTGGCACCTCTGCGGGGACACTGTCGTCACCATCGATCTCCTCCGCGGGGTCCTCCACCTGGTCCTCCCACACATCAATGTACCGCCTGTCCGTCCTCCTGCTGGGACTGAGGAACTGCAAGTTCCAGTGAATGAAAACCAGCTTCTCGACACTCTCTGCAGAAAGGCAGTTCCTCCTCTTCGTGTGGATGAAATCGTGGGTGGACCAGTTCCTCTCGCAAGGACTGGCCGTGGACCACATACCCAAAACCCTCTTCGCAATCGTCTGCAGTCTCGGCTCCTGACCATCGTGAAGCTCCCACCACATCGCTGCATGCATCCCCACCGCAAACTCGTTCCACCAGTGCGCTCCACTCTTCGACCAATAGCGAGGGTCCTCGCAACGGAAAGTCCACAATACCTGCCAAAGCTTATGCAAAGAATCAGACTCCTAACCTGCACCTTGACAGCGAGCCAATTGGTCTAGCGCGCTCTGCACGACTGGGCTGCTGCGGTCCGTCAGCAACGAGATATCACGACGGCGAGGATCCAACAGATACGCAGCCGCATGGGCAGGCTCACGCATCATCCTGCATCTGTCGGATATGATATCCATGATCGCCCTCCTCTCATCCTCTGTCAGTCCAAGGCCCCTGACCCTCCCCCGCAATATGCTCTCCAAATCCCACAATCCTGTGGGTGATGACCCATCCCTGTCTATATCCCTGAGGAACCTGTAGCACGGGGCCATGACGTCCGCGACCATCTTCACCCTCTCCCACCAAGACTCGTCTCTGCACATCCTGCGCACCTCGGGCTCATCCCTCCTCGCATCCCCAGTCCACCGCACCTGCGC